TCTATGGAAACCATTCAGCACCCCAGCCAGCAGCTTCCAGGATCGGGTAGGCCAATGCACAACCTGCCTATGAAGCCAGGCCGGGATGTCACAGGTATCCAAGTAAATACTAACTAGTTTAATGGCTCTTATCCAGGATCAGGGAGTGCTAGCACTATCACTCTACAAATAACCAACAGTATCAAAAAGCCTGCGTGAGGTCACAGGTCTTGCAGCGCATTCTACTCTGACACTGTATAAACCAGTTTTCAGCAATATATTAAAACACACAGGGCTTCTTCACATGACTCCCAGTGTTGTCTGCGAAGTGTAGGTGGCAATTCATTAAAATAAATTTCTCTTGATCCAGCTCATTCTCTGTTTGTTTGCATTCATGCTGAAGGATCTGTGCTGACTTCCACACATTTGCATTCTGCCTTATTATATTCAGCTTCAAGACCTCCCAACAACAAAGCCCATGTTGGGCCCATTGTGCCAGACTGGTTAATTGAACAGAACGTGAACTTGCTGAACTGTGGGGCTTTTGTTCATTCATTCACTTGCAAAGGAACCTGAGCTTCAGCTACTGAACAGGCAGCTTCTGCTGATGCAGAAAAAGCCCTTGGAAAAGATGGGAAATGGGTTACAAGTACTTAAAGCTAATAGGCCAGAATTCAAATACCTGAGGATCTGATATGATTGAATTTGGGGAGAGTACACTTGACTCTGAATAAAAGCCTTCACAGAGCAACTCACCTCAGTTGGAAGTCAGTGGGAAGGACTCCTGTCAATGTAATTGGCCTGGTGGGGAACCAAGGGCCAAGGCTGATGTAGAAACATAGTTGGGGTAGAATATTCCTAGTAGCTGCTCTTGCCTGGCAGTTCAGGCTAAGAACCGGCCCCACAAAGATGTACTCACTGGTTCCACAGTGATGTGCTTGAGAGTGTGGCACCATGGTTTGGACTGGAGGTCTATTCCAAACAGAGTCCCATCCCAGTGTTCCCACCCTAAGCAGAGAGATGGTGTGTGGCAGAAAACTGTATGCTGTACACAGATCAGACCCAATTTGCATTCCACTTCTTGCCACATGCCTCCTGTCCATCTTCAGGTGCGTTACTTAACCTCTGCGCCCACCCCCCCCACCCCCCCCGCATGAGGGTAATCTGAATTATTATCATTATTTGTAGCAGAATAACACTGAGGGCTTGTCTGTACAGGGATAGCAGCAGGTCCTAGCAAGCAGGAACCTGTACCTGCATCTGTGGGTGCAGTCCAGACCTAGATATTCATCAATGAGGCTTCCCCAGGCTTATTCCAAGCACCTGATCTCAGGCCCACCACACACTGAGGGCTCAGAAATGAGCACAGAGGGACACTTGCAGAACAGCCATAGAGAGATGTTTGGAGTATAACTGCAGACCCAGATGGGCATGGTGTAGGCTTAGTGTCAACAGGACCTTAGAGCCTCCAGCAGGGGGCAGGGTCCCTGCTGTGCTGGACATTAGACATCCTCATAGTCAGTGACAGTCCCTGTCCTGAAGAGCTCGCAACAGGAATAGACAACAGCCAAAGGGTGAATGGTTAAACGCTAGCAAAAGGAAGGTAAGTGACTTGCCCAAGGTCACCCAACAGGTCAGTGGCAGAGCTGGGGCCAGAATCCAGGTCCCCTGTGTGTCCTCCCCAAAGTCTGGCAGCCCTTAAACACCAATTAAATTGCTATTGCCAAATGGAAGTCAATGCAAGTTGCTAATTTGCATCTAAAATAACCTTCAGGAGGGACAGGATAGCTGAGAAAGTTATTAATGAGCTCTGCAGAGCTCCTACAAACCAAGTGCTTTATATCTGATCCCACACATACTGATGTCTTACTTATTCTGCCTTGATTTTACATTCTAGGAACCAGCAAACCTAGATGTGACTACACAAGCAAGAAGAGCATCTTGGTAACATATTTCCCTTTGAATAATATCTCAAAAATAGATATATTTGCTCTTCAACACAACTTCTGGAGGCAGATGCAAACTGATTCTTGGGACATTATTATACATTTACATTCTGGTTTGGGGACTAGTGGAACTGTAGATGCAAATATATTAAAAGGGTCAGGAGTGAATGAATTTCTGCATCCTGGAACTGCACAGAAAGGGACAGAGACAGAATGGGAAAATGCTCAGAGGCCCCACTCTCCCTACATATGTGCACACAGGCTGGGACCACCACCTCACAACTAAAAGGTACCGGGGTCTTTTAAGTGGGTAGCATAAGGTTGACCTCAACATAGCTACATGGATGTAAAAACTACCCATGTTGTGTCTCCATTCTGAGGTTGTGTTAAGTCTCTAGAGGTTAAAAGAGCCCCACACACTTTAACCCAATGGGCTAGGGACAGACATTGCACATAAACCAGTTTAAGTGATCAGAAACTGGTTTAAACCTGTAACAGAACAGGCATTCAGGGAACATAAACAAATGTCAAAATGGCTGAAACCAGTTTGAGATAAACCTGGCTGAATGTAGTATCAGACTTAACTGATTTGGCCAAACCAGTTTATGCAACATCTGTCCCAGACCCCTTGCTGGTTTAGGTTAAATCAGAGTCCCCCAGCACCCCTGCATGCTCTTTGGGCTGGGCGGGGCTCTCTGCTCCAGCCAGAGCAGGGACAGGCAGGGGTGGGGGTCTGGTGAGGAAGGGGTTTAATTCCCCCCTCTCTATCCCACCAGCAGGGTCTGCCAGGCACTCCCCTGTTGCTGCTGCAGCAGTGGGGCACCATGGCCCCTGAGGAAGAGGGAGCAGGGAGGAAAGTTAGTCTCCCCTTTACCCCTGCTAGCAGCCAGGTCTGCCCGCCCTCGCCACCACGCTCCCTGCCCCCCGCCCCCCCAACTGGGGGCCCTGCCTGGCCATGCCCCCTCCCTGCAGCTGAAGTGGGGTGGGACAGGGCCCTTGCTGGAGGCAGCAGCCCCTGTCATAATGTGGGGGAGTACGAGCCCCTTGCTCACAGGGGCACTGCGGGGCCAGCACAACTGCAGTGGGCTGTGCGTAGCAGCACCAGGGTCCCGAACGGGCCACAGCCCTGCAAGCCCCCTGCAGTGCTGCCATGCTCCATTGTCCAAAGGAGAGGATAGCAGGGGGCCTATTCCGGGCAGGGAGCACATCAGGGAGGGCAGGCAGATGTGGCTGCCAGTGGGGGTAGAGGGGAGACTAAGTCTCCTCCCTCCCCACCTCTGCCTCAGGGGCCATGGTTCCCCTCTGCTACAGCAGTGAGTGGGGAGCACTCAGCAGACCCCACTCAGGTTCCTGCCAGCGGGATAGAGAGGGGGGAATTAAACCCCTCTCTGGCCAGTTCAGCCCAGACTGGCCAAGCCCCCCAGTGCAGCTTCCTTGCAGGCGAGGGCCAGCTCTAGCACCCCCCAGCTCCAGGCATGTGCCTGCATTGCCTCAGTCCAGAGAGCATGTTTGTCCAGTTACAAACCAGTTCACCCTAGGCAGGTTAGACTAACCTGCAAAGATTGAATAATTTCAGGCTCTGGCCTTTTGAATGTCTGTCCCTAGCCATGAAGACCAAGCCAAAGGATTTGCCTTGTGTGGTGCAGTACAGCTGCTGTGGCACTCCTGAGAGAAATCAGGAAGAAACTGTTCTTCTTCCTGTGCTGGAGAGAAAAAAAACCTTCTTTCTCCTCAGCACAGAATGACACACTGTTTCAGTCAACCTCACCTTTTCACACTCATTTTTTAAGAAGAACAGCTTTTCCCCCAAAATATGTCAGTAACTGCAGATAAGAAACCCCCAGGGAAAAAATAAATAATCAAGGAAATGACCCCAAGGAGTAAAGGCATTAAAGATATTAAAATCTAAACTGCACCAAAAACATTTCTGACTTGCCATTTTTACTGCCCCAAATATGCCACATAAAACAAGTCATGTCTACTGGTGCCTCGGTTATAGGAAGACTCTGCTCAAAAGCCATGTATAATTGTTGTGGTTCTTTGGAGGTAGGGGGAAAGGTTGAGTTATAAGCAAAACAATATAGTATATGGGTGTCCCCCGAAGTGTTATCAAGGCCCCTGTCCTCACAAGGAGATAGCAGCCTACCGTGTCCCCTTCTGATGTATAGAGAAGGCAAACACAGCCACTCTAAGCCCTATGCTTAATAGATGCACGTTTTAAATCATTGGTTCCCAACTTTGGTGCGCAACCCAAATCAGGGTCGCAGGGGGTCCTCAGTAGGGTTGCGAAGGGCCCACACACACACGTACATGCACACTCACGTGCGTGGCCCAGGAGCAGCGGGCTCGCCGCACACAAAGGAGCACACAGCAGGACACAACTTGCAATGGCAGCTCCCCAACCCCCAAGCCACTGCCACACTCCACTCTCAGCAGCCCCCGTGGCACCAGGTTGGGAGGTCCTGTTGGTGGCCAATTTAGGGTCACAGCAAAAAAAAAGATTGGCAACCAGTGTTTTAAATGAATACATCTCCCACCAGCTAAAACTGCAACTGCTAAATTAAAATTGGTATGCAAACACACCCCATTGCACAGATACCCATTGAAAGAAGCTACCCCAGGGACCACAGAAAGGCCTGGAAATTTTGTTAAGAAAAAAAAAAAGATGAAAAACCCAAACTTGACACTGGTAAATGTGTCATAATTAAAACTTTTTAAAGAGCACAGTATTTTCTAGCTGCTTCCTGGTGCCAAACACATGCAACTGTTAATGAAAAGTATTATTCTTGTAGTCCCCATTGTTCCATTAATGCAATAGGGACATCCAGAAATCCAAATGACAAAAGGAGTTGATTGTGTATGCAGGTCTCAATCCCGGTCTTGCTTACTCTAGGCATAAATCTGGAGGAGCTCCACTGGTACCAAGGGGTGTTATCCTGGATTTATACCACCAGCTGAGAAGGGAGCTGTGTTGATTTATGTGAGCAGAGAATCTGAGTCAGACATTCAGAGCAAAAAAGTTTAAGCTGGAAAACTACCTGCATGCAAAATGCAAGACAATTGAGACTTAATGTAGTGTATGTTTTGCTTCTTCAACAGAAAAGATTAAAATAATTGCAGCCTCAGATTCAGTCCTGCAGAGAGAGAGAGAGAGAGAGAGAGAGAGAGAGAGAGAGAGTGTGTGTGTGTGTGTGTGTGTGTGTGTGTGTGTAAAATATCAGTTGCTGCTGTGACTCCCAGCAGCTAATAATACGTACCAATACATGCAGAGAGCAGAGCCTCTCACACTGCCTTGCAAGATGGGGAGTCAGCTCTGGTCTCGTGCAGCTCACAATAAATATCCATCATCTGCAGGAAAACAAACAAGACAGTCTTTCCACGGGGCAAGCAATTCACCTCTGTTTAATCTCGTCTAATGCAGGAGGCTCGCAAGTGTGATTAAGAGGAGGTCAGGGAGAGCTGTTTGCATACACCAGATGCAGTGTTTGTCCTGGTGTAAATAATCTCTTCACCTTTCTTTTTCAGTTCATATTCAGCCTGGGAAGCACCATCTCCTATTTGGGATTTCTGCTCCTATCACAGAGTGTGACAGTACGGAGCGCCATTCACTTCATGACACACACTGTCTGCTCTGCATTTAGTCAAAGGAAGTGTTTTGAATTGGTTTTAGCACCTAATATTTCTAGCTAAACTGGGCCAAATTAGCAATAATAAGCATTGCAGGGACTGAAATGAGACAAGGGCCTGGCTCCCCGTTTCAAATTGGCCTTACCAATTGGGTCCGCATAGGTCAGACACAATATGCTTGTGTGGTGCATTCCTGATTGAGATGGAAATGTGAAAAAGCTCACCATTTCCTTTGAAAGCCAAGGCCCAAATTTCAGCTTCAGGTTCATGCTTCTTACTGCCAATTGAACCAGTAAGAGTTGCAAGAAACCTGGTGGAGAAACGTGCAGCTCCAACTGCACCCCAACGCACTGGTAGTATTGTCACACTGGGTCTGAGCAGTCATCCCTCCTCACCAACTTTTTGCAGCCTGGGGGCTGCTTCCCAGTCAGGATAAATGAAGGAGCAAATAAATGCCACTTTGATAAGTTACAGCTGGAACAACGGAGAACCAGACCCCCAGGGTTGCAAGGCTGTACAATGCCTAGGCCATTGAGGCCTAAGGGCTTTCCAGGGCTCAACTGCAGTTGACTGCAGCTACATGAGACACTAACTGCACTGTAGCCTAATAACACCAGCAGGCCAGGCAAAACCCATGCTGATACACTACTGGGCAGTTAGCTTCTGTAAAAACCCATGCACCGGCACTACTGCGCAGTAGCGCAAGTTACTGCACATTGATTTAGTACTTGTTTATGCAAGTACTAAACTTAATGTGCAGTAACTATGGCCCATTAATAAACATGTAGATGCAATCTGTGTGTGCATAAGAGAAACGTGAAAGAAAAGCAACAGAAAAGAGGACAGAGAAGCAGTGGAAAGCTAAGAGGCTTTTCTGTGCAGAGTGCTGACTGAAAGAGGTTTGGAGCTGCGAGCAGAGAATGTGTCTCCTGTTGTCAGGTTCTTCTCTTGGTCACAGAAATGGGCTCTTTGTATGTTCTTTCTATAAGCAAACAAGGTGTATATGAGACAGCTGACTCCAGCTTCAGTTTCTACTCCTGACAGAAACAAGGCATCAATCAGCAAGAACCTGAGCAAGAACTGCCAATTAACAGCTTGGGCAAAAAAGGGTCACAGTAATACTATAACTGGAGTCTTCCCAGCCCCCCTCAGAAAGCAGGGTTTGCTGTGCCTTCATGGCATCAGGGACACTACCTGCTATAAAAAGCTCACCATTGAATTAGATAAGACAGACACAGAACGAGGGATGAGACATGTCGCTGCTGTTTCACGTCCGGGACACTGAGACATGCATGGGGAAACTGAGTCAAGCTTTTAAAGGCATTTCACCACCTCCCCCCCAGTGGGTTCTGGGCCTGCGTGGCTTGAATGAGGTCTCACAGGGAGGCTGGTCCAAAGCCAGAGAGGATCAGCAAGCTTCTTTGGCAAAGCAGGTGGAGGTGGATATTATGCCAACTGCTGGAGAGCTGGGCAGCTGAATACTATTCAACACAACCCCAGCTCTCTGTACTCTGGTAGCTGTTGCAGCTGCAAGGGTCTGCAACATTTTTGGGAAGAGTGCCAAAAACACTCACAACCTTGACTTGTAAGATGTTGACATGCCAGAGGCATGTGGCAAGGGAGCTGCAAGGGGCCTGATCCTTGTTGTGGCAGTCCAGCCCCAGTCCCCTTCCTGCCATGGAGCCCAAGCTGCCCACAGCAGGTGTTGGGGAGGCTGCAAGCAGCTGCACCAGGGTCCACAGAGCCCCAGCCTGGCTTGTTGCCAGCAGCAGGTGCACACATGCCTTGAAGCGGATGGCAGGCAAGGGGTCTGGGCTGCACCGCCACAACAAGGATCTGCCCTGAGGTGCACATGCTAAGCAGAATGTGTTCACGTGCCATGCTCTGGCAAACATGCCAGGGGTTGCCTACCCCTGTGCTACTACTGCTGCTATGGCAGCATGGGCTCGAGCTGCTATGAGTCAGGGACAGGCTTGCCACATGACAGCTGCAGCAGCTCCATAGTGCAGGCTCCCCAGGGGCCGCCCCTGGTACCCCACTTACCCACCCTAGATGTGCTACTTGGTGTAGGGCTGAGCCTGCCCAGTTCCTACCACTGGGCACCATGGTGTCCTTGCCAAAGCAAAGACTTCTGGAGGGTGCCATTCCAGCACCTCCTCTAAGTCAGCAACTTGGGCTTCCCTGCTTGTTCCCCCCATCCCCATGTTATTTACTATCCAGAGCAAGAAACTAAACTTAGATGTGCTGATTCCAAAGCATATTCCTCCACCCCAACCTTCCCCTTGCTCCCAGTCCCCAGCCCATCTTTCCTCAAGTAACTGCATAGAAGCCAAATATTTAACAAAGGAGAAAGAAGGTATGGTCCTCCCTACCCCACTTCACACACATACTACGACCAAGCAAAATTAACACTACCACTCACTAACAAGTCCATTATTGTTTCCCTGGGAAGGAAGCATTGGAGAAACTTAATCAGCATAGTACTCAAGGGGTCATTAAGCAGAGTAAGTATTGGATTCAATGTAAATCAGCATGTGTTGTGTCAAACAGGAAAGGGGCTGTGACCAGGGCATAAATCAGCTTTTGCAGATACACACACAGGCTCCATCAAGACTCTGCTGCATTAAATACTGTGCAATTTGGTGAGATGCCATAGGAGAAGATGGGTACCAGCTTTCTCCACCCCACCCCTGCTCCATTGTTCCTTGGGGCTCTGATGGCACAAGAACCAGGATTGTGTAGCCTGCCCCTTGCACCAGCCCCTTGGGGAGTGCAGAGCAGGGGGCAGTGCCTGCTCTGTACAGCTAGCCACATCAGGGGAATAAAACTGTGAAACCTCCATCCCATTTGAAACTGCAATTGATGTGGCAATGTAGGTGAACAGACAGCACAGTGATGGGGGTCAGGATAATGCCCAGAAGACGTGGCTCAAGGCAAAGCCCACACAGGCAAGTCACTCAGCACTGAGTTTCAGGAAGCACAGCCAAGCTCACAGCATCACAAAGTACCCCCTTCGCTGTCAAACCTGTCCACTCAAGTCTGCTGTGGTGAGTGACCTTCTAGCTCCCTCCAGTGGCCTATTGGCAGCTCCACAGCGGGGAGAAATTGAGAGATTAGCCAGATGGGTTCAGGCTCCGTAGGAAGCTAGTCAGCACTTTGGAGTTACTGGCCCAGAGGACCCCACACACCTAAGCTGCCAGTCTGCAAGTTACAGGCTATGGCCAGACTCCAGCACCCACAGACCTCCACGAACGTCCCCTCCCCAGGACTGCTGTAGCTGGTTCACCCCTGCCCAGAGTCGCGGAGGGTTGGGGCCTTCTTCTTTCCTTTCCCCAATCATATTGAGCTCAGTCTTGAAAGGTGCAGCCTGGTTTTGATCCAGCTGTAGCACTTACACACATGCCAATTTGCAAGGACAGAAATAGTCCCACTGAAGTCAGTAGGCTTCCTCACATGCTTGAAGTCCAGTCTGCTGCTGGGTTTCAGGCCAGGATGCTCCGGACCTAGGGGACTGGGAGCCACTGTTATTACAACTGCATGTAATTATGTACCGATTACTTCCAGGCTCCTTTCTGTGAAATAGCTGCATAGTTACTTGCTTTACTTTGGCCCCTACAGCCCCACCTACTGGTGAAGACCTGTGGTGAGCAGGGCAGGGCCATTTTTTTTTTTTTTTTGGTAAAAACTAGAAAGTGTCCAGCTTTATAAATGCGTGCCCATTGTGCAAAAATTTTCATTTTAGAAAAAAATAAAGTTTCTGGATATTTGAAGAGGCAAGTCTTAACATTTTCAAAGCCAAACCCTTTGTTTGGTTGGTTTGAAATGACTTTGTGTGTAAACATTCCCAATACATTGAATTAGAACACACATTTAAAGCTTTAGAAACATTTTTTAAAATGTCAAAGGCTCAATATTGAAAGAAAATGTTTCCATTGACCCCCAACATATATGTACTTGTGTTTATTTTCAAATCAAGCTGGGGTGGTATTTCTTTTTGAACTATCAATAAGCTGAAGGATCCACTTCCCCCCAGCTCCAGTCCTCACCAGTCAGACAGGCAGAAAATGTAAGGGTTTTACCTTCCTCTTCATCCTGGGGATGTGACTGACCTCTCACTTAACCACCTCCATACCAATGCAGAGGCCTCCAGTGTGAGGAGCTGGCTGGTTTCTCCTGCTCACTGCCCATAGCAGCCAGGGTTTTTTTGGTGTTTTGTTTTGTTTTGTTTTGTTTAAGACTGAAATCTCTGGCCTAACTAAAGCATTTAGTTTTGATACAGGATATCTGCGTGCTGCTGATCAAAGGGCTGCATGCAGGAGATCACATAAGCTGTTCTAATGACCAGGCTCCTTTCCCTGAAACAGTGGCATAGTTAGTTGCTTCACTTTGGCCCTTCCACTCTTGAACTCTCTGAAATCCAGTTTTACATAAGCTGAGCATTTATTATGCAATCAGTAATGCAGAGGACTCAGTTCCTCATTTCTCTCCCAGGTTCTTAACCCCAGGGCACTTGTAGTGGCTTCCTAACAGCAGGGTAAAAAACCTGAGAACAGTCAGGCCTACATGGTTCAACTCACCCTACACCACAGAGGAATCTGTAAGGCACTTCCTAAATTAGGAACAATGTAGTTATTAGGCCTGTGCCAAGTGGTAAGTATTTGCTTCAGATTTAGATTCGGCTGATTCAGAGGACAGTGATTTGATTTGGAGTGTGGCGGAGGCACCACGGCCAGCACGGGATACTTACCAGTGGTAAGCTCCTCTCTTCTCTGCTCCAGCGAGCTTTGCCCCGAGCCCAGTGCTATGTGCCTCCTTGTTCCCCAAGATGAGGCGGGGGCAGGGCTGGGGCAGAGCTGGGTACCATGCGGGCTCTGCCAGCTCCAGGGAACTGCTCTGCTCCCCAGCCCCTTCCAGTGAGCTACTCTAACCCCTCACACATCATAACCACAGAACACTTTATGAAAACAGAAGCAAACATACCATTTGGTGTGCTGCAGGTAAAACCCAGGGTAGGCAAGGACACAACTAATCCTGCCTGTGTATCGGCAGACAAGTTATTAGGTTAACATATGCTCATATGACCCCAGGAAGTCCCTGTGCTACATAGGAAGATAACCCCCACAAGACTTTGCCAGCTTGACTTGGGGGAAAAAATTGTTCCTAACCCCAAATTAATGGTTGGTTTAACCCTTAGTGGAAGAATACGTTGCTCCAGCCAGATACCTGAGATGCTGTAAAGTGCATGTAGCTGCTACAGTTAAAACTCCCATTTCTATCTGTGGTTAATCTCTGATACTTCAGAAGGAAGAAGAATGGAAGGGAAGGGGGAAAAGGAAACCCTCATAAACCACTAAAACATCCATGGGGGAAGGAGGGGGGCAGAATCCTTCCTGGTTCCTACAAATGACAAGCAGAAGCACTGAAGCATGGAGAGATCAGAATTGGGCAAAAGTTACCTGCACCTAATAGATGAGAGAGGGCAGGTTGGCAGATTAATCACAGCACAGTATGATTCAGGACAGAATGTCAGTGAATTGAAACCGATTTCCTGAGATCCTCTTGGCCAAGTATACATTATGCATATATATATATGTGCACATTTGTATGTGAGTATATTTAGGAATGGGCTGAAGCAGCGCGCTCACAGACCAAAGCGACGTGCTCATGGAGAGAACATTGGGCTGGACCTGTTGATCTTGGGAGGTCCCTTCCAGCTTTAATGTCTATGAAATCTATGAATGTCTGTCCCCTAGCTGAGAGGATAGGATGCTGGAGAATGGTGGGAATGGTAGATGAGAGTGTGGCTACTGAGGCCCATAGTTGCTGGTTTAGAAATAAAAGGCTTGATATGATAAAGGTTGTCTGCTCTATTGAGCGGCCAGCAGAAGAAAGCTCCTGCCCCAGGGTTCAACTTCTGCCCTCCCCCTCTCCCATCACCCTGCACACACTGTGAAAACATGGGAGAGATGGTGTTGCTGAAATAGCCACAGATGGGCTGGGGGTGGGTGCAGGCGGCCTGACATTTGAGAGATGTTTTCTATGATTTGGGGGAGTTTGGTTCACAGTATTTGAGTTCCTGGGCCTGGTAGCAGTGTGAATCACTATTTCTTTACACCATTTATGGTTGGAGGGTTTTCTATCCAGCATTGTACTTGTCTTTGCTCAAGGGGAAACTGTTAAGATTGCAATTTTCCTGCAGCTGATTGTGTGTCACTAATGCCCAGCCTACTATACCCAGTACTTTGACCTGGGCACTAAGGAAAACATCACTCTGGAGGAAACACAAACCGATGAGCTTGTCCCAATCACTCAATAATTCATTGGTTATGAATGCACTCAGATTGGGCAGGGTTCCCAAACTGACATATCCAAAAATCATGTGTCCGGTTCTACAAAATCATGGGATGGATCTACAGAGCATTTGTTTTCAAAATAATAACTGTTTTGCAGTATTCATAATTTTAGGTTTTCCTCCATGACCACAAGGTTTAGACATTTAATTTCTTTATTTTTTTTAATGCAAGCTAAGACTGTCATTAATCACCTGACTCCAGCAGCTGGGGATTTAAGGAAAATGCCAACATCATATGGTTTGTGATCAAACTGTGGCATTTGACAATGCTGTCAAATTTCCAAATACTGCAAGTCATCATTTGTGAGTAGGCCCCAGCATGAGCTGCCTCTCAGGATGGGAGCTACCTTGCACACTGAGTTTTGAGATAAGGAACAGAACCATAATGGCAATATCCTAGCAATAAAAGCTAAGATAACCATCTTCCCATTACTCCAAGCCTCCTCCTTTGAACATAGCAGACATCCTTTCCAGACATGGATACATCCTAACTGTCACTGCTAAACTTAAAGGCCTCCCACTGCTATCTCAGCACCATGAAGGGTCCCTGAGAAGACACCAGGTCAGGTCCTCCATCCTCCCACCCCACTCCTAACACTTCACAATTTTCCTTTTCCAGGCTTTCATTAAGGGATCTGGCATGAAGGGTGGGTTCCTCTGAGAACCATGAACTACCTGCGTCTTGCTTTGACTTCTCCCTTGGGAAAATAGCCCATCTTGACCATGCCAAATACCCCCCTGAAGGATTAAACACTGATTTATTAGGAGTTAAGCTTTTCTGCTCCCCTCTTAGGGGGAGGTCCAGCTATACTGTCCCATCAGTGTTTTTCCAAAGCAAATTGTTTTCCTGTAAGATCTGGTCTTAACTGAGCAGTGTGGTTAATTTTGCACTAGCTTCACATCTTCTGCTTTAGAAGAGCTGCTTTCTTGGCAAACACACCTGTGACGTTCCAGAAAACCCAGTGCATATTGGTGCCAGTCAATGCAGAGCATCAGCTCGTCCTGCCCCTGGTGAAGCAACCCTACTGATCTGTCAGAAAAAGTTTTTTACAGTTGGCATTTGTAGCATCAAGTCATCAACGGGAGATAAAGTGGATAAGAGCTGTGGGTTTTTTGTTCTCTGGGTGTTTCTACCTCCCTCAGCCAATGGGAGCTCTTGAACTGACAGCTCATCCTGAGTCTGGGGTGAAAAGCAACTTCTCTGACTGAAGAGCTCTTCACTCCCTTGCTAAAGTGGTGGAGGCAGCAATGAACTGGTCCTGGGGCTTTGCTTTCTGTTGTTACTTATCTCTGTGGGACTTCACCTTGTCCAGTCATGGTAAGATCAGAAAATCACCTTAGTCTATTTTGAAGCTTAAACCTATGCTGTTTTTTTGTAAGCATGAAAAGATGTGAGGGGTGTGCAAATATCCTCTGCACACCCCATCTTTCATTTTTTAAACTCTGGCCTCTTACAGCTATGGTCTGAGTGGAAGTGAATTATATGGGCGTATGTATCTAGAGCTGATTAAAACAATTTCTCTCCCTCTAGAAAACAGTGTTGTCTGGGGAAACTGTAAGAATGTTAAAGTCTACTTGTGGCTTCAGTTTATTTGTCAGAGACTAAGTTCTGCCTGACCTTGCTTGTTAAATCGAAAGGTAATGTGTAACAATGTGATTGCTAAGTACAGATTGCCACCTGAGTGATTAGCAGGTGTTAATGAAGCATTGTCTGGGCTTATTTCTCACTTGTCTAAGCAAGGAAACTCCTGATTATGGCTGGCCTTAATACTTTGGAGTGGTAACTTCAAAGGAGGGTGTTTTGTCTGAAGGTTTTATTCTTAGCAATAAATGCATAGAAAATGCAAATGGCGTCACTGAGGGTTTGGGGGAACTCGCTTTAGATTAACCGATAGCTCTCTGTTTTGGCTGTGGTTTCCTTTTGGGGTTGAAGAATGCCTGCAAAGAACACAGTTTCTTGTTAAGCAACTAAATAAAAATTAGAATTGTAGAATAGCAAAGCTAGACATGTTGGTAGGAGGTCATCTAGCAACCTCCTGCTCCAGGCAGTATCAGCCCTGTTTGAACCATCCCAACCACGTGCCTATCTAACCTGTACGTAAAGGCTTCCAGCCTTTACAAATTCACTAGATAAGTCTTATTCCTTGAAGTTAGGAAGGGATTCTGAAAGTGAGCCTCTTAGGGAAAAAAAACTACAATAAAGCTGCCTCTGATCAGCACTTCCCTCTGGAGGAACAGATTGAATAGGCACGTGTTCTAGTATCTCTGTTGCCATCACCAGTGCATGAGTGATGCTCAGTAAAGTTACAGGAAGACAAAGTTCTTTGGGTAAATATGGTATCTTTTATTAGATCAACTAAATAGTTGGAAAAGTTCTCTGCAAGCTTTTGGGTATAAACACCCTTGACCGTCTTTCATCTTCCAGCCCTCCCCTGCCACAAAGTACAGCCTAGGCCTGGCTGTACTATCTGGATCTTAATTTTATCAGGCTCCAAGTCCAAGGTGTTGGGATCCAAGGGCCTGACTTTGTGCCAGAGCCTCAAATTGGTTCCCTAATAGCTGCCAGGAAGTGTGTGGGCTTATATTGTGCCTGAGCCTGGTTGTGAGGGAGGTAGCTGAAAATAGCTGCACTCTTATTCTGTGTTTCTCAGGGGCCATGAGCAGAACTCAGAGCACCCTCTGGGCAGCTCAGACCCTGCAAAGATACCTGCACCCTGTTTGCCTGCTGCCTTCCAGGCCCTGTGAGCTCAGCTCTGCAAGTGCACAGATCTCTTGTTTCGTAACAAGTGGCTATATGGTATGGCTAGCAGAAGAAGTGTGGAAGCTCAAGAGCTCTTGGCTTCTCACTTTAGCACCTGGCTGGATTGCCACCCCAGTCCTTTAACAGGCCTTCTTGGAGCAGGGGGTGAGAGCCTACATCTGTATTCTTATGCCATGCTTCTACCCCTGGGGAAACTGGCATCTTCAGCAGGTAGAAATTGAAATGCAGACTTCCTGGCCTGGCAGAAATGTCAGGGTACCCACTTGTGAAGTGGTGGAGCCTGGGCTTTGGGGATCCCTGTGCCTCATTTGCCCTCAGCCTCCAGCTATGCCCTGAGTGACATGACCACATGACAAAAATAATAAAGGCACTGCAATGCAGCCATGTGAGGAGAGGCTGAGGGAACCAGGCATATTTTGCTTGGAGAAAAAGAGATTAAAGGCAGACATGATAGGAGTTTTCAAATACTTGAAAGATTGCCACAAGGAAGAGGGAGAGCAACTGTTCTCCTTTGCCACAAAAGGCAGGACATGAAGCAATGGCTTCAAACTGCAGCAAAGTAAATTCAGATTAGGTATTAGGAAAACACTTCCTCACTGTTAGAGCAGAGAGGTAGGAGAATCAACTGCCCAGGGGAGTTGTGGCATCTAGGTTACCAGAGGTTTTAAAGAGGAGGCTGCATAAGCATTTGACAGCAATGAGTTAGGAACAGCACAACCTGCCTTTATGCAGGAGGGTTGGACCACATGACTTTCAATGTTCCTTCTAGCTCTGTGATCTGTGGGTATGGTTTGTTCTTCTGTTCAGGGATGGTTAGGATAAAAGCCATGTCTGGAACCTCCAACCAGTTGCTAACTCCAGACAGTGTCTTGTGTCTCTGATAGCAGTCCCACGTATGGCCTGACTAGAACCAGCCCAAGAGTGGCGAGGCTGGGGCTGCTCTTTGGCCAGACATACAAGATGTGAGCCTTCTGTGAAATGCTGGTGATGGTGCCCTATAGCAGGGAGATGGGAGCAGCAGGGCTCAACAGAAAGAGCCCAGCCATGTACCGATGGGAGGCTGCTGCTGCTGCTGCTGAGCTAAATTCTGATGAGCTGCAACACAAGCCCATCTCACCTCCTAGGCCCCTTTGTTGTTGCAGAATATGCACTGTCCCTCAAGACCTTTGATGTTGCAACACCCCAGGGAAGAAGGGAAATTCCTCCTCCTGTGGGCAAGCAGAGTCACAGAGTGACTAACCCCATGTGCTGGCCTGAATATCCCCTGGGCACAAGAGGGGACACGAACCCAGCTCTCCTGACTCTCAGCCTGGTACCCTAACCACTGAGCACTCTCACCTGCGGCTGGTCTTCCTCTCACTTCACTTTTAGCAACAATGGAATTACTTCCCAGTTGGTTGCAGGAGCCAGGTTATCTGCAGCCTCACACAGCCCAGAGCACATGCAGGGAATAGGTCTGTGTGATGGCACAAGGCAGTGGAGAGCCAGCATCCATATCAGGTTAAAACTGAGCTGGCCAGAGAGGCAGTGAGATGGGAGGGAAAGAACAGCTCTGGCTGCTACACTGCACATACTTTAGGATCTGAGTGGTTTCATCTTATGCTGGAGTATGTGCCTACCAGAATCATCACACTGTATTTGTCTCAGAAGTCTGTCCTCCTGGGTTCTGATTCACTAGAATGAAGCGGGTGGAAACCCTTCCATTATTACAGGACAACATGCCCATCCCTGTGGCACTCTGCCAGTGGCCCCACTCCTGCCGTGTGCCTTGTGTAGCAAGCATCAAGAGACCACCTCTGGTTTTCTGAGAGATGTCCCAGAACTGGTGTCTATGCCTCTAGAAATAGCTCAGCCCACGCTGCGGCCATGGGTATTTCCAGCTCTGACTGCTCCTGTCACTTTCCCAGATCAGAACTGGCCTGCTTGCCCAGCATCATGGGCACAGCAGGATTTTAGTCAAAGCCTCTTTAAAATTAGGATATGCTCTGCTTTCTCCATAGGCCTTTTTTTTTTTTTTTTTTCCAAAAGGTCACCTCTACATCTATCATGTGTCCTATCCTGTCTGAGCCATTAGCAACTAGAGTCCCTGCTCAGAGACTCCTCCTGATACTGGCCTCCCCTTTAAATGCAGCTCAGCCAAAGTCCTTCACATGTTCTTCATCTGATACCTCCCCTGAACAGAGAGCTGTTTCCTCACTGTTGTGAGAGCTGTGACTCAATAGGTGTCAGAGATCGTTAAGCCACAAAGGGTCCCTGTTGCAGATGGAAGAAAGAGAACATCACGTCCCTGCCACCTGACAGGAGGGCTGATGTCTACATCAGCCAGCAACATGGTCAGATTTTCCATGCAGAACTTTGCATGTCATTGCAGCAGATGGGGCACCTGCTGCCATTACAGATCAGATCGAGGTCTGGGAGCCTGGTTTAGCAAGAAGCTGATAAATAATTTCTCAGAAAACAGCTAATTCCTGTAACCAATGGGTAGTGCTAACCACCTTTCCAGTGCTGCCCCAGACAGGGCCCTGCCGCCTTGATCTTTGAAAGGGAGGAGGATGTTTTGGTGGTTAGACCAGGTATAAGCTGCAAACCAGAACAACCCAGCTCCAGTCCAGTGCAGGCTGGGTGGCTTCAGTGGTGCATCAGCAGTAAGGGGGGTTTCCTCTGCCTACCCTGAGACTGGGCACCTGGGAACTGCATCCACGCTGCTGATGCTTCTCTCCATTCCCTCCTGCCAGCTGCAGTGTGGTTATAAAGGTGGAGAAAGATTATTCTCTGTGCTGGCATGGCCAAAAAGTAATGATCTTATACTGCAACAAGGGAAATTCAGTTTGAAGATTAGGAAAAGCTTTTTCACTCTGAGGGTAGTAAAGCTTTGGAACAGGCTACCTAGAGAGGCGGTGGAATCTCCATCCTCAGAAGTTTTTAAAGATCTGGTTAGATGGACACTTGGCTGCCATGACTCAGGCAGGGATGATCCTACCTTGAGCTAAGGGTTGAATTAGATGGCCTGTGAGGGCCACCCCCCGACCTGTTTTTCTGTAATGAAAATGACTGACCAGCCCATGAAGCTGGGTGTGCCAGGTGAGTAGATGCAAGACTAGTCTCACACATCTTATTCTACATGTGGTCTCTGGCCCTGCAGTTATTGAGGTCTTTGTTGCCCAGCATCAACAGCTGGGGAGGGGTAGACACTGCCCCCACCTGGACAAGCTAGTAACCTGGTAGTCAGGGTATCTCATGGAAGTACCCTGTGGGATCAAACCCTGTCCGGCTAAGTGGAGAAAATGGGACTGTGTGAGCACTCTAACCACAAGGGGAGGAGCGAGATGAAGGCAATACCTCTTGCCAGCTGCGTTTAAGAGAAACCAACTGCCTAACTGCATTTTGCGCAGAGCCCAGTCCTGTCAGGACTCAGCCACCACTCAGCAAGCCAAGCCTGATAAGGGCTCAGACAGAGGAATGCCTGGTTTCCAGATCCCAGTCAGACCGAAGCATAAGCTTAGTGCTGAGCACCTCTGAGGCACTTCTGGACATATCCAGAAGCAGACTTTTAAATCCCTGGGGAGCTTCTAGGGCCAAAACTTAGATGACTGTAGAGTTTAGATGCCACCAGCAATAGGAGATGGCTGAGAAGGGGGTTTCAGGATTGCAGCTTTGGGCTTCAAGGGAATTTGGGTCTCTAAAGCCTCCTTGGGTCTGGCCATGGGGCCCTATATTTCACCAGAGAATTAACCACATAAGATACTTCTGTCTTCTAGCACTAGTTGCTCCCTTGAGATTTCTACCCCAACTCCCCACTCATCCTCCCTTGGCCAGATCTCAGGGGCTGAGCCACTGTAGCTGCAGTCAAAGGACCTTGTGGTGCCAGGATCCCTGAGCAAAGTAGGTCTGTGCAGGCAACATGAGTGTGCAGGATATTGGAAGAGAATCTGCACGGCCAAGCCCAAAGGAGAATTTCACTGTTCCCTAGCATTGTCAGCGAGATGTGTTTTAATTAGTTGATGATCATTTCCGTGTACACTGTCATGTGCTTCTGAGCAACACGTTCTAATTGTTTTCTTGCTGTAAACTGTTTTAATAACACTTCTTGTGCTCTGTGGTTTGGTGCTAGGGGTGAGAGTTAGGTGTGAAAAATGTGTTGGAAGAAATATAAAGACTTTTTTATATTCTACAGTATATTGGCACAGGCTCTCAGGGAGAAGGAAAATTAAAAGGGCAGCTTCCTGGATGGTGTGCTTCGTCATAAGCCAGGGGTTCTCAACTAGGGTCCCGTGAGACCCTTTCAGGAGTACTGAGACATGAGTGCCACCACTGCAGCAGCCTGGTGAAACTGCCTAGACTGCCTCTGTTATCACTCAGAATATGAGTGGGGGGGACCAGACCAGAAAGGCTGCAGCAAGAGTAGGTGCTTCTGCCTGCCTTAGTCTAATCTGCCTGTACATAAGGCATGCAGGGCCTTTCTACCCTGCACTGCAGCAGCAGCATCACCCCAATTGAGAACCACTGAGGTAAGCTGAGGCAGTGTAAGAGTGGTCCTCAACTGGGGTGCTGACAAATCCAAAAAAAGGTGTGGAAGGGAGCCCTGAATCTAAAACGATTGAGAACCACTGCCTTTAAGCAACGGCATTATAACAATTAATGCTAATTGAGAGACCTGCCACTTTCATTTCTTTCCCTGGTTCACAATAGCCATCTATTCTGGAAATTCCTGTCTCAGGTGTATTTTCCTAGGTGTGTTAGAAAACAATTGACAGGTGTTGCATTTTTTTTCATCCTGCAGTAGAAATAATCCAGGTGGAGAAATGACACCAGGCAGAAAGGACTCTGGGCAGAAGTTTATTTTGTACAACAGTTGCTTGCATCCATATTTCTGTCCACTTTGAATGATGCGTGGGTATGCATTCAAAATGCCTTCAAATTCATAAGCCACCAGAATGATCTCATTGAATTTACAGGGATACCAGAGTCATTGGGCATCTCAGTGTTTGGGGTGTAGAGATACAAATTGGAATGGGATAGTTCATCAGATTGGAGTTAGTTTAGACACTTTTCTGACAACAGCTGCAATGTTGCCCCTCCAAGACAGAAAGTTGTAGCTTGAATATGTCACTTTCTGAAGCTAACAGTCTCATGAATTCTCCTTCTGGGCAAGGTTTTGCTCTAATTACCCAAAGCAGCTCTCCAGGTACACCAGCACTGACACATGTGCTCTGGTAATAATTACTAAGGTTATGGTCAAAATGGAGATGCGCATTTAGTGCCCCCTTTCAGCCTGTTACTTCCAGTGCCTATACACAAAGGAAACATGCAAACTAGACCAGGTGGAACAGAGCATCACTGAAGCCAGGGCCAAAGGCAACTCCCAGGGAAGGGAGGTTGCAGAGGCTCTCTCAATTCTTGGCTCAACCATATCCTGAAGAGGAAATCCCTAGGATCCAGCCCACATTGCTGGATCAGGCTTCCTAGCACTGAGGTTATTTCCATCCTCTTTGCACAGTAGAGGGTGTTTGAGATGCTTGCAAGACCTCAGGTCAGGATGCTGTTTCACCTATATGCCTCTGGGGTAGCAGTGTCTTTTCAGGAATGAGCTGTGCAGCAGGGGTGGAATGTCCTATGACCATGCTGTCCCCTCACCCCAACTAGTGAGTGACATAGATTTAAAGTGACCTAGAGGGTCTGGTTTAAAAACATCCTGTCCAAACAGACCTCTCCAACTAAGTTGATCTGAAAACACATTTCTGTTCATTCTTTGCCTTATCCAGTGCTGTTGGTTTCCCTCTGAAGTAGCACTGTGGCCTGCTGAGTGTTTAAGTTACTCCTCTGTACCTCAACCTGTAGGGTCCTTTGTCCCAGATTAATGCAGGGGATGGGGCAACAGGAAAGAGCAGGAACGGGGAAAAGGGATTGGAGTCACCCTCCCTCCCTCCCACACACTTCTCAGCCATTGCCACTATGGCTCTAGCTCACAGCTCTTGTGTGAGCAGGCTGTGGTGCAGCATGCCAACCCAAGCATCTCTTCCCTGCAAGACTGCAAGTCATGGTTGTGTGGTGCTGTCCCTGCCTCCTGCATCCCTCACCATGTACCAGCATGAGTAGGGTTACGAAACAAGATAGCAAACCACAAATATTCATACAGGGAGACAAAATGGGCAGGGAGACAGGATGGTGGATACAGCCCAAGGTGGTCTAGGCAGAAGCATGGGCTTGTGTAGTGTGGGGCTTAGAGGATCTGCATCCTGCTCCCAGCTCTGCCAGACTCCCTGTGTAGCCTTTAGCAAGTCACTTGATTTGCCTCTGTTTCAGCTCCCCATCTATCAAATGGAGGTGTTGCTTCCTTTGTGGGCATTGCAGGCCAGGAACTCTGTCTTGCACTACCTGGCTACACTCTGGGTGGGTATTGTCATATAGGATGCATAGAGTGGGAGACAGGCTCCACCAAAGGCAATGTGAGAAGACTCATGAGGGAAGGATGATACTTTTTGCTCTCTTTTCTCCCCAGTCTCAAAGGGAGAAATTGGCTCAAAGACACTAGGGTGGGTGGGGGGCAGGGGGCAACTTCTTGGAGCCACATTTCATAGTAACACTGAACCTTTTGCTTCCAATCATAGAGAAATATTTTTAGCAGTGACCCCAAGTCCTCTGTAAAGGGACATGCTCACAGGACAGCAGCTGCACAACATTCAAGATAAGCTTCTTCTAGGCCAGGGGTTGCCTTTTTGAGCAGCCGTCACCTTGAAATATAGGTTAGTCTCTGCCCCTATGCAGTGTGGGTAACAGGGTGTGCCTGTGTCATTACAGTTCTCCACCTGCAAAAGCCTCCGTCAACCACAAGACCAGGCTTTCCAGTCCCCATAGACACCAAAGACCCTGGAGTTCGCAAGGCAGCTCGGTTTGGTGTTTATCGATATAACAATGGCTCAAATGACTTCTTCCTCTTCAGAGAGTCTCGTATAACCAAAGCCCTTGTCCAGGTAAGGACAGCCTAATTTGTCACACCTATGCAAGTCGGATACTAAACAGTCCTGATTCAGCAAGAATAAATTCTCTTCTCTTGCCCATGCAAGCTGTCATAATCTTAGTCTTTCCCCAGTAGGTGGAAACCAGGATGGCTCTACTGAAGCCACTGTACCTACACTGACTTACTCCCGTGAGGAATTCAGCCCCTTAATAAATGCAAGAGATGTGCACCAGTGAACTCTGCCAGTCACATCAGCAGTTGGAATCATTTGACTCTTTAACAAAAGATTTCCTGCTGGGCAAGGAACTGAAAAGTATTGTCTCAGAGCTGGGATTAGTACACTGAATGGGTAAAAAGACTCTTTAGGATTAAGGTGGTGTTCTCTAACCCCTGGGTAATACAGCCTGGTTTAAAGAAGTCTGACTTCATCCCAGTCCCCAGGGAGACCAGTGCAATGATTACATTTTTCTTCTAAGCAGTTACTTTTAATTGCTTTAAGCTCTTTGGGGGCCAGGGCTTTTGGGTTAGTTTGTACAGCACTTGCCATAATGTATAGCTCTAACCTTCATTAAGGCCTCTAGGTGCTGCTGCTACACAAATCAGTAACCCAAGCTCTCACTGAGTGAGAGTGCACTTTCCCAATAAACTTTTTTTGGCCCACCTAAAACACACTGTGGTGTTGGTGTCATCTATGCCCAGTCTGTTCCACAGCTTTCTCTTCCATATGACCCATCTCTCCTCCCTACTGTTAACTAACCAGGAAATTACTTTCTCTAGATTGTTCGAGGGCTGAAGTACATGCTCAATGTTGACATCACCCGGACAGTGTGTAACAAAAGAAACCAATCCAGTTTGGACAACTGTGACTTTCAGAGGAAGAAAGAGCTGCAACAGGTGGTTCCCTTTTCTCTGATTTCCTCTTCGGGTTCTCTCATAGCAGCAATTTCAGCATCTGACCCACACCTGTTAGTCAATGGGAGACCTCCCACTGGCTTTCGTGGGCTCTGCGCTCTCACAACACTTCACTCCTGCACATGGACCTAGTGATACTCTGAGACAAAACAGAGCTATGCCTGTGGGTGCTTGTCCATCTTCATCCACCTTAAGTCACTTAGAGCAGAGGGGCAAACTGTCTAGGTGTAACTTCATTATATTGCAGCCATCACAAATGGCAGCTATTTTAGCATTCAGTTTGATAGAAATAAAGGCTGAGGTTTTTCACTGGCTGCAGTGAGAATAAAGTTGGACCCCCACTGTGCTTTTGAAACTTCCATCCATCTGGAGGGAGGAGCCATCCAGTCCCCAGCAGAGCAAAATGCTGCCTCCCTACCTCTAGGTCTAGGACCTCTAGGTCTTTTCCAAATTGGAAGGCAGGACACATGACCGTTTCCCCCCCACCCCCCTCTTGGCACAGACAGAGCAGAACCAAGCAGAGCCCATGGAGTGGGGGCAGGGGGACAGGGGGAAGGATGCCCACTTGAGGCTCAGGGCTCCCTACCCTGCTGCCCCCCCAGGAGCCCCGCACTGGCTGGACCCCCATGGTGAGGTGCCCCCTACCCACTTGGCAGCATCAAGGAGCACAACTCCATGCTGCTGCTGCCACCACCACCACTGCTGCTGGGCAGGGAGGGGGTGCCTGGGGCTGTATTCCCAGCCACGGGCATATGTGTACGTTCAGATGCATGTGGTACCCCCTGCATCTCACTCCATGCAGCCTCTTGCCAGCCTGCAAGGGGACACCTGCTGTTCCTACAGTGAATGGAAAACCCAGATCCCTGCAAAATACTGGGAATCTGGGACAAATCCTGCCCTGGAAACATGCAACTTGAGGCCAGGACTTGATGTTCCCATTTTGGGATTGCCCTTCCCAATTAGGGACAGGTGGTCACCCTACCTACCTCACCTTCACTGCTCCCTCGCACCATCTGGCTTCCTGGTTAGAAGCTGTAGAGCCAGGCTAATGGCTGCTTTATAAAGCCTTACCTCAGGGAGACTACACCTGCCCCCACAGGGTGCATATTCCTGACAGAGCAGGGTCACCTCCCTTCTGTTCCCACACTTCTTCTCTTCTAACATATGGCCCCAGTCAGTAAAATAAGAGTAAAAAAATTCTGACACAGGCCCTGACTTGGGGAGTCTAACACATTGCCTTCTGCTTGCAGATGTTGAAATGCTATTTTGAGGTTTGGATTGTGCCCTGGGTACAAAACATCCATGTGCCAGTTGTTCTCTGTCACTGATTCACCTTCCCCTGGGACCATTGCACCTTCTAATTGCACCCTCACAGCCAAGATATCAGCATTTCTTTTGTGACAGCTGCAGAAACCCACGTGAAGTCTCAGGAAATTGAGACCTGCTGGACATGATGGTTGCAAAGACTTCATTCCAATGAATCAATGATTTTCATATTTGATTTTTTTTTTTTCCAGGAAGATCCTTGAAAAATTTCACATAAAACCAAACAGGGACCATGATCCTTCAAATAAATAAATAAATAAAATTCAGGTTAATAGACAAGCCAGACAGTAATAAATATTTTAATAAAGTAAAATATAGAGGGTACGCTGAGGCTCACTATTCAGAATATAAAATGGCTTTTAAGTACATGCATTGCATTGCATTGCATACAGTTCAAAAGGACTGTGTGGCCACCTATCTGAGACTGTAAGTGCTGCATGTCAAGTGATACAAAGTAGTCAGTATTTGTACATGGCCAACAATAATATATCTGCACCTATGCTGCTTTCCCTTTCAAGAAAAAATAAACTGTCAATCTTGTTCCATAGAGACTTGCCAAGTTTTGCTTTACTCAATTTGATGACATGTTGCTTTGTATTAACCTATGCATTAATCTACCCTATTTAACATGCAGTTGTGACACTTGTGATCAGGCAGAGCTGAAACTTGTGTCTCAGAGCACAGATCTGCTCTCGATAGAAACAACATCCTTTCATCGCTGACATCTGATGCTAGCAATGAATGGTCATTGACCCAGACCCAGGACCTGACGCATCAAGTTTGAGTGGCAAAGAATATTTTTTTCCAAGGGATTCATGCAAAAAGGCATTTAAGCACTTCAGTCCCACCGCTTTCAATAGGATGGCTCTTTCCCCTTCATGGTAGAAGAAACAGCTTCATCTGTACCCTGGGCTTCTAGCCGTGTCTGTAGTTGTCATCCAGCCCAGGAAGACCCACCCCCTCCCCACCTACTAGACTAATTGAAGACCAGGACAATCCACAGCACAGCAGGACAG